GGGGTATTCTTCCTTCATATACCTCATTAACCGGATTTTCGGGAGGCGCTCTTCCCTTCCTGGCTTGCTGGGAGCGCAGGCCGCCTCCTGCACAGCGCTAAACAAACCAGTGGGTGCCCCCCCTCCTCCTCTCCCACCCCCCGTCGCTGTAGACGAGCTCCAAGCTCGTTTTTTTTTTTGCTTGTCGTGGACCGTGTCGTGAACCTGCTTTCCCGTCTGGCTCGTGAGGAGTTGGCCTTGTCTTTTGCCTCTCTCCAATCCGCCTTCTTACGCGCTTTCTCCTGGCACATCTGTCGCTTTCTCGTCTCAAGCCAGCCAGCCAGCCAGTCAGCCAGCCAGCCAGCGTCTGTCGTTGTCATCGTCGTCGTCGCCGCCGCTGTCGTCGTCGCGGTTGTCGCTGTTGTCGTCGTCGTCGTCGTAGTCGCCTCGGGACTACTCTCTTTCTCCTCTACCTACCAACCGACCTAACCCTACCTACTACCTACCGACTGGCCTACCACCCGTCACCCATCACCCATCGCCATCCTCCATCCACCATCCACCCCCCCGATCACCACACACTCACTCCTTCCTTTGGTTCATTCATTGACGGGTGCATTGATTTGCCGGCCCTGCTGCGACATCGCATTTGTCACGAGAGCCTGCTGCTTGTCCTCGTGTTCTTGCCTGCCTGCCTGCCTGCCTGCCTGTCTGCCTGCCTCCCTCCCTTGATCGCCGCTGCCCCCCAAGGAAGACGAGCGAACCCTTCCCGCCTCCTCAATTGTCCGAGACTGGCGCGAGCGCTGGACCCTTTGCACACACACACACACACACACACACACACACACCACACCACACCTCACCACACCGCACCGCACTGCACTGCACTGCACCGCTGCAACCACCCTCGACACCCGCCCCATCAGTCCTTCTTTCTCTCACACACACACCCGCACACATATATACAACCACACACACACACACACACACACACACACACACACAACCGCATACCCGCACACCTCCATCCCTTCCTAATCGCCGGATCATCAATCTTCCGCGACATCCTCCCTCACATCCACAATGGCATCAAAGGTGCGTCACCGCTCAATGCATTTCATCCATCCACATCCTCGCGCCCATCTACGCACGCATGCATCCAGGCCTGCATCCATTCCCTCGTTCTCTGTCCGCTTGCCTGCTTGCTCGCTCGCTCTCATCCCATCCCTCTCCCTCTCTCCCTCTCGCTGGCTCACTCAACTAACACGCGCGGCCCCAGTTTCTCCGAGAATACAAACTGGTCGTAGTCGGCGGCGGTGGCGTAGGAAAGTCGTGTTTGACCATCCAGCTGATCCAGAGCCACTTTGTAGACGAGTATGATCCAACCATTGAAGGTCAGTCTCTTCTCCCCCCCCCCCGTCCCGACCGGGCGCCTTTTGTGGAACGCTCGAGTAACCGTGTGCGCGCAGACTCGTACCGCAAACAGTGCGTCATCGACGACGAAGTTGCCCTGCTCGATGTCCTCGACACCGCCGGTCAGGAGGAGTACTCGGCGATGCGGGAGCAGTACATGCGCACGGGCGAGGGCTTCTTGCTCGTCTACTCGATAACCGACCGCCAGAGCTTCGAGGAAATCATGACGTTCCAGCAGCAAATCCTTCGCGTAAAGGACAAGGACTACTTCCCCATGATTGTCGTGGGCAACAAGTGCGATCTCGATGGAGAGAGGCAGGTGTCAACACAAGGTGCGTTTGTGCTCTCCGTTTGCGCCCCCCAACCGTCTCGTTGCGACCCGTCGCATTGCATCTATGTGAAGCTCGTATGCTGCGCAACCTGCTAACGTCTATCCAATCACAGAGGGCCAGGACCTCGCACGACAGTTTGGCTGCAAGTTCATCGAGACATCGGCCAAGTCGCGCATCAACGTCGACAACGCCTTCTACGACATTGTACGCGAAATCCGCAGATATAACAAGGAAATGTCTTCCTACTCGGGCGCCCCCCAGCAGGGCCAGAACGGCACGACGGGCATGAAGCAATTTGACCAAGAGGGCGAAGCAGAGAAGAAGGGATGCTGTGGCTGCGTAGTAATGTAAACAGGTTGGCACGTCGGGAATACTTTTTTTTTCATGTTCCTCACTCTTGCATTGTTGTCGCATGCACGTATGCATGCACGCGCCACAGAAGGGAAAGAGGGAGAGGGAGGAGGGAGAGGAAGCGGGAGAGGGGGAAAGAGGGAGAGGACAAGGAAGAAGGAGGAAGGACGGAGAAAGAGAGAAAGATACCTATACCACTTTTACCCATCTACTTTCACGCCCATTTCACCCTTACACTTGACCAGATTAGCAGTTTGGCTCTCTATTTTTTTCCATTTGTTTTCACGTTGTACTTTTTTCTTTCCTATCTCACTTTTAACTTTATGTTGTATTCCTTTCGCATGTTCATCTTGATGTTATCCCTCCGACCTCCTGGATGGTTTTTATTTTGATCTTTTTTTTTAAACCTCTTTTGATCTTGTACGTACGTTTATTACCTGGGCAGACGGTGGGCGGAGGGAAGGGGGAAACATGGGAGCCGGCGAGAATGAGACATGTACGGGATGGATACCCTTGTTGGACGTATAATTTGCCTTTGATCGCTGCTTTGTATGCCTTGCTCTTGCTGTCTGTTTTTGTGTTTTGCATTGCTCTTTCTTTGTCTTTTGACTTGTTTTGTGAGGTGTTTTGGTCTTTTGTGAGAGGGTCGTGTTGGACCTGATGGGTTCTTCGTGGTTGTTTTGTGTGGACATTGGAGGTGCATGTAACATTTCCGAATTCCACGCAATCAAGCCAATCAAATTACATAGTCTGGCCCCACTCTTGCGCTTTGTCTTGATGTGGAAGGAGGCAAGTTTCGAGTCGGACAAATAACATGTACACGCCTTGTATCCTCGTATACACGTGCACTCCCATCTACGCAAAGAGAAAGAAAACGGAAAGAGGGACAGGATTGGACATGGAAATATTCGTGTAATCACAATCACAAACATGGGAAATACAAAGCTTCCCCGCGTCCTCGCCCTGCCTTCCTTTCGCATCCCAGATTATCCGGAGGAAGCGCTGGCGTTGGATGCGAGGCCGCTTGCTGTTGTGGATGTAGGGGAAGAGGGAGGGCGGGAGAAGGAGAAGGAGAAGGAGGAGGAGGAGGAGGAGGAGGAGGAGGAGGAGGAGGAGGAGGAGGAGGAGGAGCAAAACCAAGATCAACCCCCATCCTCCACCACAAAAACAAGTCCAGTCACGCCGGCGATTGGGGTGGCAAGTATACTGTATGCCTGGCATCCCATGGCCTTGGCCGCATTTATGGATTTGGATGCTTGGTTTAGTGTGACGTGGAGTTTGATTCCGTCCGGTACTGCTATAACCAACACGCTGACATCTACTTGCCCTTCGACTCCGACTCCGACCTCGACAAGCACTTCAACACCCCGCCTGGAAATCGGCCGCATCGGCCCCAAAATCACCTTTGGCACCCTCTCCCCCTGCGGCTCCACCTGGTCCCTCATGCTCACCTATGACATGTCCACCTCGACATCCACCTCGACATCCACCTCGACATCCACCTCGACATCCACCCCGACATCCACCCCGACATCCACCCCGACATCCACCCCCCACCCCCGCGGCACCTGGCTCCCCAACCCCCAAGAAAGCATGCAAAACGAGCAGGACATGACGGACGCCTCGGCCGTCAACGCCCTCGCACAAGCCTGGATCGACGACTGTCTGGCACGGCGTGTGTGGGCGGCGGGCAAGGGGTGGAAGCATGGGTTTTGGGTCGAGTACGGCGGGGTGATTGATGTTTGGGGGGATGGGGTTCCCATGGTGCCTGGGTGGTTGTACGAGGGTGTGGATTTGGGGCGGTGTGCGTGGTGCAGGGTGATTTCCTCTTGTCCTCTTTCTCCTGCGTCTGCGTCTGCGTCTGCATCGCCCGCCCCCCTCCAACGCTGCGCTCGCTGCGGCACAGCAGCCTATTGCTCGCGCACCTGCCAGGCGGCCGACTGGCCCGCCCACAAATTCGTCTGTACAATGGGGTTGCAGGATCGGGGCCAGATGCTGCAGATGGCGGCGGCGAAGAGGGGCTTGTTGGGCTACGATGAGGAGAGGATGTTTGCGCGTGAGGGGGAGGGGGTGCAGAGTGTGAATTGTCATCTTAGAGAGGGGGTGGCGAAGAGGGTGATGCGGAGGGGGGAGGGTGTGGATGGGTAGGCCAAGAGTGTTGTAGGTATATGCTGTCAAGATGGACAGGTAGCAATACATCTGGCTAGTCGTCTCCATCACTAGCAAGCGGCATCTGAATTTGACATGTCGAGACAATCCGCTCTCATCCTCCATCCAGGCTACAGACGGGCAGCACACGCTACATCAAACAGTCCCCCAGAAGCAAGAGGAGAGACAACGCCAAACACTGTACGCTGAACCAAAAAACAAACAACCGACAAATCCATGCAATCCTACCCATCCGCACCCCTCTCCCCATCATCCCAACTCTCTCTCCCCGTTGATTCACACCCAAGCCTACAACCTACTCTCCCACGCACCCAACCCCTTGCCCTCCCACCGCTCCGGCCACACCAACCCCAACGCCTCCCAAATGTGACCCACAAACTCAATCTTGATCCCCCTCTTCACCTCGTCCGGCAACTCCCTCGCATCCTTGCGATTGCCCTCGGGCAACAAGACCCTCTCCACCCCCGCCCTCAACGCCCCAATCAGCTTCTCCTTGATCCCGCCCACGGGCAACACCCTGCCCCTCAGACTGACTTCGCCCGTCATGGCCAGCGTGGGCGGAACGGGCTGGTTCGAGAACAGGCTGACGAGGGCGATCGTGTGGGCGAGACCGGCACTCGGTCCGTCCTTGGGAATCGCCCCGCTCGGACAATGGACGTGGATACTGCGATTCTTCATAATGTCCTCGTCCACACTCCCGCTGAGCCCCAGCTCAAACGCATGCGCCTTCACCCACGTCAACGCCACTTCCACGCTTTCCTTGAGCACATCGCCCAGTTTGCCCGTCAGTTGCACCCGTCCGGTGCCTGGCATATCCAGAATCTCAATGAAGAGGATGCTGCCCTGGCCGCCAGAGGAATAGGCCACGAGACCGGTGATGACGCCGGGTTTGGACGTCTGCTCGGTGAGTTCGTCCGTGAAGCGTTCGATGCCCAGTGTCGCGTCCACGTCGGCCATGGTGACGACCGGGGAGTAGGTAGGCAGCGTGTTTGTATCCTTTGCCGTGGCGTATTCGACCGCTTTGCCACGGCAGATGCTTCCGATTTCGCGCTCGAGGTTGCGCACGCCGGATTCGCGCGTGTAGTTTGTAATAATCTTGTCCAGGACTTCGGTCGGGATACTGACGTTTTCTGGGCGCAGACCGTTGGTGGTGATTTGTTTGGGGATCAGGTGTCGAGAAGCAATGTGCCGTTTTTCAATCGTAGTGTAGCCGCTGAGTTCAATGGTTTCCATGCGATCTAGGAGCGGCGGCGGGATGGTGTCGAGGCTGTTTGCTGTAGCAATGAAGAGCACTTTAGACAGGTCAATCGGGATACCAACATAGTGGTCTGTAAACGTGTGATTTTGCTCTGGGTCCAGCACTTCCAACATGGCAGCACTGGGATCGCCGTTGTGGTTGCTTCCGGCCAGTTTATCGATTTCATCGAGTAGGATCACGGGGTTCGCCACACCCACTTTCTTCAGCCCGTTGACAATCAGGCCAGGCATGGCAGCCACATAGGTCCGTCGATGACCACGAATCTCGGCTTCGTCACGGACACCGCCGAGGGAGATGCGGTGGAACTTTCGACCCAGGGCGGTGGCGACAGACTTTGCAAGTGACGTCTTGCCCACACCGGGTGGGCCGGCAAGGAGCAGGATGGGGGATTTGTCGACCATGCGCTTCTTCTCTAGCAATCGTAGCTCGGCCTCCGACTGTTCACGTGGCGCCTTCTCTTCCACAGCCCGTTCGGGCGACTCTGCTTCTTCAGCGCCAGGGGCTTCGCTCAAGGCGCGGATCTGGTCGTCGATACTCCTGTTTGCCTGCTCCTTGAGCTTCAAGACGGCCAGGTACTCCAACAGCCTCTTCTTGATCTTGTCCAGCCCATAATGGTCGTCGTCCAGTTGCTTCTTGGCCCGCATCAAAGTGCTTGCGTCGAGCTGGTCCGCCGTCGTCTTTGTCCATGGAATCTCGGCCAGATTCTCGAGGTAATTCCGGCAGACCTGGTATTCGGCCTGCGCCGGGTTCATCTTCTGCAGTCTGGCCAACTCGCGCTGTGCCACCTTTTCTGCGTCCGTCGACAGTCTGGCATCTTGCAACTTCTTCTTCAACTCGTCCATCTCATTGCCGTCCTCTTCACCCGCCTGCTGTCCTCCACCGGGGAAGCCGACGGGGAATCCAGCTGGCAGGCCTGCCTTGCCCCGTCTGACAAGGGCTTCCTGTTGCAGTCTTCGCAGCTGATCAATGTCGAAACTGCCATTGGGGCCTTGGGAGGTTGTCACCGTGATCCTCGTGCTGCCTTGGATATTGCTAATCTGCCGCTGCAGAATCTCAATGACGCGGTCGATGCGCTCCTTGGGGTCTACCGCGGCCAGCACCCGTAGCTTCTCCTCATGGGTGCAGTCCACCACATTCGCCATGAAGTCTGCGAGCGCGCCAGCTTCGACCAGATCCTTCCTTGTGATGTAGAGTTCGAGCCTTCGCGCGACAATGGGCGAGAGTGTGACTGTGGGGGCGCGTGGGAGGATTGCGGAGAGGCGGACGAGGGCGAGGAGTTCGCGTGACAATTGCTTGAGCAGATTGAATTGATGGATGAATTCTTGGCTTGCAACGTCGACTGTTTTGTCCCTCTTGTTAGCAGACATGTTCGAAGGGAAGAGGGGCCAACAGGGTGTACGTACTCATCTCGTCACAGGCCTCCAATTCGCCTTCAAAGTACGGCCGTTCCTGGACAACACCCACCACCCTCACCCTCTCCAGACCCTCGACGACCAAACTCAAATCTCCCTGCCGTCGGCCCTGCACCCCGCTGACTTTGGCCACACAGGCCCAGCCAAAGACATCCTTCTTCGTCGCCAACATCGGATCGCTCTCATAGACGTTGCCCTTGTTTCCCTTTGCCCTTGCGCCGCCACCCTCGCCGTCGTTGGCATTGGTGATCAACAGTCGTCCGTCGGGTGACAGGGTGTTTGAGCACAAGGGCACGCAGGCGACGGTTATGGCAGCGTCTGGACGTGCGGTTGGACTGATGCTGTAGATTTTGGCCAGGATGGCCGCGACATCGCTGCGGTTGGTAATGGGGATCTTGAGCGTGGTGCCGGGAAGGACGGCGAGGGGGGGTGCAAGCGGAATTAGGGGGAGGACGGTTGGGCTGGACTTTGAAGTGCCCATTTGTCTGTGTCGATGAGCGTGTAAGGTTTGTTGTTGTTGTTCTTGATGCTATTATTGTTCTTGATGCTATTGTTGTTGTTGTTGCTGTGTGTGTGTGTGTGTGTGTGTGTGTGTGTGTGTGTGTGTGCGTGTGTGTGTGCGTGTGTGTGCGTATGTGTGTGTGTATGTGTGTGTGTGTGCGTGTGTATGTGTGTGTGTGTGTATGTGTGTGTGTGTGTGTGGGTATGTGTGTGTATATGTATGGGATGTATATGTGTGAGAGAGGATGGGATGAATGGTGATGCTGGCCGAGCACGCGGCGAGATGGAGAAGAGGGTCGAGGCGGTGGCGCGCGCTGATAGGTGAGCTGGCAGCGTTCGTATAGTCGCTATCGAGTCCATGCTCCGGAGCCGCAGCTCGGGGCACGTCAACCAAAAGCTGGAATCATCTATTTCAGATACCGGGGGGTATACCGGTCATACACAGTCGCTTGGTACCAAAACAAAGGGCATGATGGAGTAAACCTGCCGTTTACTAAAATCCCATGGTCCTGCAAACCATCCACAACAACTCCCTCTTACCACATGTGAATATTGTACTCTCTCTACCGTATAGCACCCACATGTACCGGTACTAGGTAGACGCCTACCCACAGTGGCCAGTCTTTGCCCCCATCTTGTTCCTCTCCTCTCGGTCCTGGCTTGTTTGCACCATGCTTCCAGAAGCCTCCAGCTCTATCCGGGTGGCCATGCATGATCAGCATGTATCCTCCTACCGTACTCTACGCTCTTCTGTGGGAGGTTGGAGCACAAAAGTACCGTAGCGCTTCTTCACGCCGAGCCGAGGTCCACTGGTTAGCGCACACACCGTTTTTGGGTTAGACTTGTTGCTAGTGTTTTTTAGGTTGGTGTTTGCGGCTAGTGCTTTTTAGGTTGGTGCTTGCTGCTATTGTTTTTTGGGTTGGTGTTTGCGGCTAGTGTGGGGGCTAGTGGATTCAGCCGGTGGAAGTGCCTGCCGGTACATGGGCAATCAATTCATGTCATGTGCCTCCTCCACCCCCACCTCTCTCTCTCTCCCTCTCTCTCTCTCTCTCCCTCTCTCCCTCTCTCTCCCTCTCTCCCTCTCTCTCCCTCTCTCTTCTCGTCGTCTGGGCCCTTTTTTTCTCATCACTCTCCTTGTCATCACATCACCTTACTGCACTTGTACTCACTTGCTCAGCCTTGCTTGCATCAGATTGTAGAGTAGATCAGCCTTTCCCCCCACCCACCGCAAGTCTGTCCGAGCCCGCTTGGTTGAATGTCCACGCCTCTTCACATGCGCAATCTGGATACGTCGTTCCTTTGATTGGATAGCATCATACCCCCCGCACGCCCGCCATGGCCGTCATCAGCGTGATAAGACCGTCGTGTCTCCGAAGACGGATGGGCCTGTCCTGGACATGGCAGATGGGGAAAGCATGTGGCTAGACGGCGCACCTCCATCATCTCCTGTGCGCTACATCAAGGGAAAGCGCACAGGCAACACTGTCCTCTTCTGACGTATTGTACATGTATACCTATCCATTGCCCCATCCATGCTCGCAAGTACTCCAACTTCCATGATGGTGAGCCTTTTCCCCATGTACACAATCCATCATCTCCCGCCCCTCAGGCACAATGCCCAGACAAGCTGCATGGGCAGCACCCAGCATGTTGGTGGCAATGCAAGCCAACACTCCGGTCAGCGCATCGTTGGTGTGTTCCTGCCGCGGCTAGCAGACATGCTATATGGGGCCTAGTAACGCTCAACATCAGCGTCCTCGAGAGGAAGAATAAAACACACAATAGCTAGCCAACACGTACCAGCACCTTCTTTGCGTTGCAAATCCGCCACGCAAGGTTTCTCACATTGCCGTCGGCTTGGACAACTTCGGGCGCGAACTCTATACCGAACCTTGGACCGGTCAGTCATCATGGCCGAGCAGACTGGAACCGGTACCCAAACTCACATCTGATGCACGGCGAAGACAACCCGCTTGGCGAATTTGCCGTCCCTCTCCACCAAACTCCCAAAGCTCTCATCCACCGTGCTGGGCGCAATCTCTGGGTCGCGATCAAAGCAATTCTGAACGAGCGGTAAGAGGGTCTGTGCTACAGCATGGTGAACAGTACCGTTGCCGTCCACCTCCACATCATCTTCGTCAAATCGAGGGATGCGAGTCTCAAATGCTTGAGACAAGGCCATGACGTGATGCTTGCCGCCGTGGTGGTACCTAAATTCAAACACACCAGTCGTCCACCAGAGCTTGTCTCCGCGAAATTCAACCTCGCCCGTGTAATAGTCATTCGCCTCCTCATCCGATGGGCTGGCATGCTCAAGCTTGTCAGACACAAGGATTCCATCCTCGGCCCGTGTAGAATCGTAAACCCCGGGATGGGTCGCGATCCATCGTCCGTTTGAGCTTATACGCGTCACCTCCCGAGCTTGGTTGTCGGCCACCATGTACAGTCCGATCCAGTCTTTTTTGCTGTGATTAAGAGGGGCTTGCCAGCGAACCCGGATCGGTGCGCCGTACTCGAGCACGAGAGTCTTAAACTCGCTGGTGCGCACAGCTGGAGTCCTGGCCTGCTCGCCTTCGCGGCCGCCGTTCTTTTCTTGTTCCACAGTGGGAGGTGATAGTGTGCCGCTGATCTCAATCTTGTACTGCTTGGGATCCAGTCCTACAAAGTCTTCTGGGAGTAGTGAAACGGGGATACGTGGCGAGGGCAACTTCAACAAGGCCGAAGCATCGCTGATGAGAGTGTCAATTCTATGCGCGAACCGGGGCTTGGCATCATCCAGGAACCTCTCAATGATCTCGATGACTGAGTTGACATAGACGTCGGCTGCTGACTGCCAATGACGAACCGGGCTAGGGAGCGCCTGCCGAAGTGTTTTACTAACCCCAGAAGTCTCACGAAGCTTTTGACCGTACAATTTCCTGTCCAGTCAGACTTCTAGTACAATTCCACTACAGACACATGGACTTACTTCATATGAGGCCCTTCGACAAATTGCAAGAAGAGAAGGTTGAGCATGTGTGCTGTAGCCGCATGGTAAAACATGGGTGCGTTCCATGTGATGAGCGCCATGCCCCATACGCCAGCAAGACCAAGAATGCGCTCAGGATTGTTCAGAAAACGGTAAATGCCCGAGTAGGTGAGATTCCTTGAAGGTGGATCATAAAAGAAGTCACCAAAGAACCAGCCAAACTCACCGAGAGAGTCGTAGATGCTGAACGCGACCCAAATTTGCAGTGCGATCAATGCACTACCAACGACATGTCTCAAAAGAGTTAGCCCGGAGAACCAATCTGGTGGCAGTGTGTATGTTTTCCAAGCGGCTGATACGAAGCTAGCGTAACACTAGATACGGAAGTTAGCCGAATAGCTTCAAAAAGAAGGGTGAGAGTACTGGGACAGTGATGAAATCCCCAGAAGTCTCTCGCGCGTGGTCCGTAAGTTTGCGGAACTACCAGAAAGACACCAAGGCATGCCGTTAGTTGCACAAACGGCACCTGTACGTACCATGTTCATACTGAGATGACAGAGATACTTCCACTGACGCCAAGCCTCCTCCTTGCTATCTCCATACTTGATGAAGTGACGCGTCCAATTCTTCTTCTTCGACTGTCGATCCAAGATATAGCCTAAGCCCAGGGTGTGCCACAATCGCCACACAAAGGCGTTGATCAGAAACAACGTGCGTACGAACCATGTGTTGGGCGTTAGTACCGCGAAGCAGAATGAATAAAAGTAGGCAAGTGCTACGGTGACATCGATAAGGCGATGGAAGTCAGTGTTCTGGGGTCCTACAATACGGTGCATTGGGGCAGGTTGTTGCACGGGGTCATGCGCGGGTGCGATGTCGCCCACTGCACCATCAGACTGGCCGGTCTTGGGGAAATCATCGGGAGCGACTTGTCCGGAGTTGTGGCGCGTTCGGCGTGGTGCAGGTGGGTTGTAGACCTTGTCGATGTGGACATTCTCAACGAGGATGAGGAAGGCAAATTGTGCAGCGTGTGCGATGATGGAAATTGCAAGGACTTTGTAACTCGCCATCATCAGAGCAATACCATAGTAGCCAGCATAGCCAACCGAATACATGGGATGGCTACGAGGGTAGATTCTCAGATTAGTTACCTGCAGGTCCGACACATGCCAGAGATACGTACGGTGCGAGTTCAAAGACGCCATCGAAGGTAAGATCCTGGTCAATAAGGAAGTGGAAGTCTCCCCAATACCATGCATAGTCTCCCACAACTCTATGGGCGTCCAGCTTGACCCATAGGTTGAACAGGAAGAGGGCAACACCCGTTGTCCAGCGGAGAGCCCACAGTAGCCCGCTCTCTTGAGGACGGTTGAAGCAGGCCAGGGCGAAGAGGCAGTACGAGACAAAGTCACACATCAGGATCAGGTCTACTACTCGCCTGAAGACTAGCCATGTATTGTACTCGATTGGTGCTTCATCGAACTTATAGTCGGTTGGGATCTTGGTCTCCATTTCTCGCTTGAGAAAGTGGTATATGGCAGGATGTGGGTTCTTGCCCGACTCTGGCTTCTCGAAGACGTGCGAGTTCTTGGCCCAAAGCACCAAGCGGTTGTGCTTGGACTGTCCATCTAGTAACCAGCCGATGCCTCCGTTATAGGCAGCGCGCCAGAACAGGAAGACGGTTGCGAAGACGGGTTTGCGGGCGCTTTTGGGCAGCACGAAGAAGGTCAAGATCAGACTAGCAAGCACAGCGAGGATGGCTAGATCGGATAAGTTCTTGGGCTGCGAGGGCGAAAGCAACTGAGACACCATATCGTGCGTCTGCGGCACGATGAAGACTGTATCCGGCGCGGTCAGCAGTGAGCGTTGGCGAGCAAGTCTTGCAGTTCGATCCTACCTGTACCATCTGGCGTTCGTCCGTAGGTACGCTTTTTATCGTTATTCTTACGGCCTCGGCCTTGTCGATCATTCAGTTCCAGCACTTTTTGCTTAGCGTCGCTGGAATTGTGCAGATGCAGCGGTTTGGCGGACGGCCGCTCGCGCACCTGACTACCGTCGGCACTGTCCATGTCTGCCATGATAGGCGCGAGGATAGCAATTGGCAAGGAATCTGTGGTTGAGCAGAGCTTGGGAGGGGGGCTTTCTAGCAGATATTTGCCCACGGCTATGCCGCGTGCGTGCCGTCACGCTATACCCACAGTGCAGTGGTACCGCTGTCTGCTGTCCCGGGATGCAGTGGATGCGCCTAGCTTCGCTGCGAGCCAGCTTCCTTGATGGATAGGTACTGCAGACTAGCTACGTATTCGACGACGGATTAGGGGGCGTTGAGGACACAGAGTGTTGAACTCCACGGAAGCGCGCCAATGTTGAATCAGATGGCGGAGGAAGCGTGATGAATGTACCGGTAGTGGTTTGTTTCCAGGATGCAGAAGGAGAAGAAGAAGAAGAAGAAGAAGCTCCCCGCACCCAAATGACGCCAGCACGTGGGGCCCTAACAATGCACCTGATGCTCTCTACCTACACCGGGGCTGACAGCAGTGGTGACAGCTTTGCTTACTAATCACAATACAGGGAGCAATGGGCCAAAACATGGCAACTCGACGCAAGCTGAATTTATATTGAAAAGCAAAACTGAATGCATTTGGCTACCGTACCGGTATGGCTTGCCGGACAGCTCCGACTCCCCCCATGTACAACATCGCGAGCACACCAATTGCTGATGCCCCACCACCTGTCTTCCCCTCCGAAAATTCATCGCGGAGCCGCGTGATAAACTACCACCCGACAAGCCGAAATAGGCTGTACCTAGGACAGGACGATCAGAAGTAAATCAAGTGTTGAAGTAGAGCGACATGGTAGCGTCAAACTCGGCCAATGGATCGAGGATTTGCAACGTCGACATCTGCCGGACCCACTCATCGCAGCAACGACGCTCGGGAAGGCTCCCCCACCCAATGACCCAGTTACATTGACTTTGTTCGTTTTCTTCCGAGTAAATGTCTCTCTTGCCTATCCTTCAAAGGACGGACTTGTGGTGTATTGTGGCACCACGTATAATTGCGTGCGTAGCTCGAGGAGGGCTTGCTCTGAACTGAAATACGCTCGTACTCTGAACCAGTCTCGCTGTCTGTGGCCTGCCAAATTGGTGCATCCTCGAGGTGACCGAGTGCGAGTACTTTGCAGATGCTGGCTTGATCAGCTCGCTTCTCGACATGTTCGTGTCTTGAAATAGAAGAGATCGTGCGTGGCTCAAAGACCTCAGCTTTCGGGCTCAAGAACGAATGTATAGTCTGCGGCGAGTCCGTTTTGGTAGATGCCGCAGGTACTGTAATACTCAAGCCTTCAAAAGTAGTGGTGAGTGGAGCCAGCGGGCCGATGCCATTAGAGACCAGTTCTAGCATGTTCTTATTTGAGCATTCTTCTGGGGCAATCTCCGCAACAGAGAACGGATGATTGCTGTGCTTTGCAAAGGGGGACATGACTGCGTCATCGGTCCAACCATTCCAGCTGATCTCAGTCGACTCCGGCCCTGACTCTTCTGGTAGAGTGCATCGTGTAGAACCTGACGTAAAGGCAGGCACTGATGACAGGAGACCAGTGGACGGAGGCGAAAGAGTTTCCGCGATATATAACTTAGCTTTGCAAGCCTGGAGGTTGCTGAGCAACGTACACTGCTCTTGCTCTCGAACGAGAATCTCCCTGTTCAAGTCCCGATTCGTCTGTTGTATTTGGTTTCGCTTCTTACGCGTGGCGAAAGGAATGATGGTGAGACGGCGTTGATTACGAGCTTGCTTTTTGCGCAGTACTTGTACGTAGGTTATACAATCTGCAAGGTTATTTTCCAGGAGATCCTGCTCTGCATAGAGTTTCCTGATTTCCAGAGGCGAAACGGGTGCGTGTTGTACGGGTGGCTCGTGGCAGTATGGAAATCCGTTATAATTCCAGTATGGCGACAAGGCATATATTCCGTAGTCCATTGTCAGCCAATAGTATAAGGGGCACAGGCGATCTTGGAACACACCTAGGGAATGAAATAATGCAGGATTCACAGGGCCATATAACACAGACGCTCCCAAAGAGCCTCTGGCTGTTGCGCATGTCCTTTGATGGTAGATGCGGTGCAGCGTCTAGACGTTGGGCCCCATGGCAGCCCAGAGCCCCTTCAACCAACCATTGAGCAGCCTGTTCCTACAAATGGGTACAACGGGGACCCCTCGTACTATTTCTCAGACTTGTGGCGGAATTCTCAAAGATCAGGGGATTTGCTAACTATGGTCGCTGAGGGGTAGTGACATCTATTAGCGAGAATAACAAAGCTGTCAAACAGAGGATTCCCCACGCTTGGACGCATTCTCTTTCAACAATAAATCTTGGATGCCTAACCATTGTACTACCTGACCAACCACGTGGAGACGAGTGATATCGAAAACAACCTCGTTCCGTAACTGGCAAATCCTAAACGTGGGCGGGCTTTCAGGCACACATATCGCCACACGCGTCTAACCGCTGCGGCGAGGCCGAAAGTCAGTCAATTGCGAGATGAGGTGAAGGAGATAGAAAAAGTCGATAATGCCCTGCTGAATAGGTATGAGGGCACATGGGAAACTTGCGCCAAGATGCACGAGTTGGGCCAAAAATGTGCATTGAGCTCGTTGCCAGACTGGGACGGTCCACCGTATGAAAGGCTGCAAGGCTACCAAATAGGCCAATTCAATAGCCCACATACATAGAGTAGATGCATTTTCGTGGGTTCCTTGTGCTATACCCAACGGTCTGCGTTCTGTCGAACGTGTGCGAGCCAGCAGCAGACGGCGGCCCATCCATCCGTCCATTGCCTATATAACCATTTGGGCAGTGCCATGGTCGAGACTCAACAGGAGTCCAGACGTGTTTCATGCCATCAATGATGGTGGACTAGCGCTGACGGTATCAGAGTATCGTTGTCGTACTCTATGCGCTGCTGGTGTTGGTGGAATGCAAATCTCCCTCTGTTCTGGCGGAAGATTCCGCATTCACGAATCCATGTGCCTACGGTACCGGTACCTACCATGAACTCGTCCACGAATGCCATATACTCTCGGCTACCGGCCTTCTTTCTTCTTTGGATGACCGATTACTGTCCTTGATTACACACTTTTACCTAGCCAATTGCCCACTTTCTGAAATGGCTTCCGACGTGCATTCCCCCCCCCCTTGCGCCCAAACACCACCATGGCACCCTGGTATCGGTATCCCAGCCGCTCCCGTGGACAGTGACGACGACATGACATGCGTTCCCGTACCATTGCAATGGCAGCTCTGGGACCTGGAGACCTCAAGATCGTGGCCGCGCTCTGATGAGGTCTAACACAGGACTGGGCGTCAGGCGTCGGTCGTGGGCCATATGGAATGGTATCTGGCAAAGGCATTCGTCAGTCTCATTACTCGAGTTTTCCACTGATGAACTTGGTAGAGTACTGCATGTGCCTGCCTGTCTGTCGTGATCGGCTTGTTCGGCCCCGTGTTCTCCACATGTTGCCGCAACGTGGGGCTTTGGTTGGAACAAAGCTTGGAAGGCAAGGATGGGCTTTCAAAGACGTGCCCCTCACATCGACATCTCGCTAAGCTGTCCACGACGTCATCATCAAGACAAGACTTCAATTGCTGGTGCTGCTTGCATCAGCGCCAGGCCAATGTGTAGTACCTATGGGGGAAAAGGCACACTGCGACCCGCATTGAGGCGCGGCGGTACAGTCACACCGGGTACGATACACAAGCACATTGGTTGTACCCATCCCCTTCTCTCCCTCCTGGCCGTGAGAGTAGCCGCTTCGAAATTGAAAGGCTGGGTGCCGTCTCTACTTCACGGCCGCTAGGCCATTGGTACCTGTCCATCGACGAGCGCATTACGCTCCCGTCTGTCGGTCTGTTAGGTCATCTGCCGAGCCCAAACCGCTAGTTACTGCTCAGCATAGAGTAAGCGTTGCTAGTATCCACATTACGTACCTTTGCAACTGGTATAAGTACCATATTCTGCTCAAGCGACACATGTTCAGTCTACCAGACTGGCCCTTTTGTTCTTCTTTTCAAACTGCCGACCACGCGACTAGAGTTCAAGAGCCGCAATGGTGAGCACCAAGATCATCGACATTCGTGTCGACACCGCCAAGTCTGATATCCTCGCGGAAATCAAAAAAGGTCTGCGGCCCCAGGATGGCGGCGAAAAGAAGTTGCCTACGCTGTTGCTATACGATTCGAACGGACTGCGTCTCTTTGAAAAGATCACCTATCTCGAGGAATACTATTTGACAAATGCGGAAATCGAGACTTTGGAGACCTATGGCAGTCGAATGGCTGAACGTATCCCGTCCGGCTCGGTTATTGTCGAATTGGGGAGCGGGTAGGACCATGGCCCCCCCGAAGAGCGGAATTGATCCATTGTGCTAGAATATGGAGAGCTGATCAACGTGCAGCAATCTTCGTAAAGTCAACATTCTTCTCCAGGAAATTGATCGACTTGGCAAAGATGTTGAATATTATGCCGTTGATCTCTCGCTGACAGAATTGGAACGAACGTTTGGTCAAATTCCCACAGGTAAGCTGTCCCTTTGCCGAACACCATGTAGCTTCACTGGTCACATGACCCCTGAGCCTGAGCGTACAGCAGCGCACAGGAAGCTCTGAAAGTTTGCAAAATCCCACGAAAAATGTAGCTCAGATCAAGCTGTCCTGTGAAAGGTGAAAGACTGTGATTCATCGTTCCCTCACTGCTTGTTTCAGTCTTGCGCAGACTCTGTGTGGCAGATCAGATCTAAATGCACTGGAAGAACCCACAATCGCTAACCACTGGAACAGAGGGATATCGGCATGTCAGATGTTTCGGGCTCCACGGCACCTATGATGACGCGCTTGCATGGCTAAAGACGTCTGACGCAAAGGTCAAACCAAAGACGATTCTATGGCTCGGCTCAAGTCTGGGCAACTTCAAGCGGCACGAAGTTCCGCCGTTCCTTTCCCGTTTTGGAGATGTCATGCAAGTTGGTGATACTATGCTTATCGGTATCGATTCTTGCAAAGATGCTGATCGGGTCTACCACGCCTACAACGACAGCAAAGGGATCACACATCAGTTCATACTGAATGGACTCAAGCACGCGAACGAAGTAATGGGAGAGCAAGCTTTTCATCCCGATGACTGGGAAGCCATTGGCGAATACGATAGGGAGGCTGGACGTCACCACGCATTCGTGTCACCACGCAAGGATGTGATCGTGGATGGCATCACGATTGTTAAGGGAGAGAGAATACGCATCGAAGAAAGCTACAAGTACAGTAGACAAGAGATAATGAAACTCTGGGACGGAGCTAAGCTGGCAGAGAACACAGTTTGGGCGAATTCTAGCGGTGATTATGGTAAGTAGTGCACCAAACTGGATAACCTCTTCTAATCAATTCAAGGTCTTCACCTTGTGACTAAGCCAGTATTCTCTTTTCCTACAAAACCTCAAGAGTTTGCAGCTAAGCCAGTCCCGTCCTTGGCCGAATGGAGGGAGTTATGGGCAGCATGGGATGCTGTCACTCTCAGGATGATCCCAGAAGAAGAGTTATTGTCGAAACCCATCAAGCTGCGGAACGAATGCATCTTCTACCTCGGACACATACCAACCTTCTTGGACATTCACCTTGCACGCGCAGCCAATGGCAAAGCCTCAGAACCAGCAAACTTCTGGACCATATTCGAAAGAGGAATTGACCCAGACGTTGAAGATCCCACAAAATGTCACGCTCATTCTCAGATCCCGGCGGAATGGCCAGCATTGTCTACTGTTCTCGAGTATCAGAAAGTTGTTCGGGACAGGGCTACTGCGCTTTATCAATCGGGAGACGCAGAGTCGAATGGCCGTGTTTCTCGCGCAATGTGGCTTGCATTTGAACATGAAGGAATGCATCTAGAAACCCTCCTTTACATGCTGATCCAGAGCGAGAAGGTCTTGCCTCCACCAGGCACTGTCACACCTGACTTCTCGGCTATGGCCAAACAGTCTGAGACTCTTGCTGTCGAAAACGAGTGGGTCACTATTCCAGGGTCCAATGTCGACATTGGGATCTATGGTGATGATGACAAAGACTACAATACAATCCGATACTTTGGATGGGATAACGAGAAGCCATATCGCTCCGTTCATGTAAGGCCATTCCGCGCAAAGGCACGCCCAATAACGAACGGAGAGTACGCAATGTACCTGGAAAAGACTGGCAAGACAGGTGTGTAGATCTAACGCTCCTGTCTCCTAATCATTGATCATCGTGCTAATCTCGTGGCGCCTTCAGCGATACCTGCATCGTGGTGCGCAAAATCAACTCCGACCAAAGACATGAGCATGCCGAAGCGGGACAGTGTGGTCAACGGTCACACCCACGAAGGCAATGGCTCGATGCACCCAATCACCAATGATAAGTTTGTTCGCACCGTATATGGAAAAGTGCTACTCAAATTTGCCCTGGGCTGGCCTGTTGTTGCTTCCTATGACGAACTCGCGGGTTGTGCTAAATGGATGGGCGGTCGAATTCCGACTATGGAAGAAGTCCGTAGCATCTACAACTATGTCGATAGTATGAAGATGGAGTTCCAGCAGTCGCTGGGAAATAACATTCCTGCGGTCAACGGGTAAGTGATAGGGCTTCAGATTGAAAATTTGAAAAATGGGTACTAAATTAAGACTCCAGTCATCTCATCAACAACGGCGTCGATGAGACACCTCCATCTAAACCTGTATCCAACGGCCACTCCAGCACATCAGCTGGACCCAACCCACATGATCTCTTTATTGATCTTGCGAGTGCTAATGTAGCCTTCAAACACTGGCATCCAGTGTCGGTCGTAGAGAAGGGCGGCAAACTCTGCGGTCAATCAGATCTAGGTGGCGTATGGGAGTGGACCAGTTCCTTGTTGGAGAAGCATGACGGCTTTGAGCCGATGGAATTGTACCCTGGTTACACAGGTTCGTCTCATCCCGTCTTGCGGTGACGCCGGTTGCCCCTTTCATCTTGATCGGCACATTCATCACAAACAGTGTGAAATGCATGACTGATACTTTTATTCGCAGCCGACTTTTTCGATGGGAAGCACAACGTCACCCTTGGAGGATCGTGGGCAACCCATCCACGCATTGCTGGGCGTAAGACATTGTAAGCATGCTGAGGGCAACAGTAGCCGAAGGGTGTCTAACGTCTCCTAGCGTCAACTGGTATCAACGCAACTATCCATACGTGTGGGCTGGCGCCCGCATTGTCACCGATGTCTGAGCCTATGAAGACACTCTGTCCGACGCTGATCACGGGTGCGGGCTCCCAGTACGAACGAGCGACAAACGCCCAACGCGGAACGCTGCAGTTACCCGCAGGTCCTTCACTCCAGCGCGATAGACTGTCAACACTAGCCCCTACTGTCTAGGGCAAGAGGAAACGATTTCTTTCGTCGTCTGCTAAGATCTTATTGACATAGTTGGTCCCATGTTTGGTAACGTGCCCTCTGTACAGATATGTTCTAGTGGTGTCGTTGTTTTTGTTGTCGTTGTTTTTGTTGTCGTTGTTGTTGTTGTTGCCGTCGTCAATGGACAGTCGCAAGTCGCTCTTTCCCTTCTTGCTCAGCCTCGTCGGTGCTCGTCGGTGCTCCCCATGCAGTGAATTGTGAAGGCATCCCTCCACCAGCATATATTCCGCCCCACCCCAACCTTTCACCACAAAGCCCACCTGCGAGACCACAACTACTCGCTGCACTTCACGTCACCTATTCAGAACCACCATCTAAGCCTGCTGCTACTCCCATCTCCGCCTCCGCCGCCGTGCTTCAACTGCTATTTTTGTTGGTAACAAACACTGGGATTGTGCAAACACGGATCTGGGGCAGAGAATTCTCTTTTTCGAACGCGATGGTCCACGGTCTATTGTTCAAATGGGAGGATTCGGCGGCGCTGAGTAGGTCTATAGTGTTCTTTGTGATTCGAGCGAATGAGGTGCCTGAAGCATGCTTCACCGGTCGTGCTGGTTAACCTCCAATAGAACACCACTGTGGCTCCTGCAAGCGCCCCCTCAACCATCCTGGTGCGCGCGCCTCGTGCTTCGGGAAGCACAGCGAACCATGCGTGCGCTACCACCAAGTACGCTCTTCCCAATACCTCGAACACCATGCATGGCATGTGTTGACAATAGACCAGGCCATGTTCATGCGTTTGCGAGGTCACACCTGCACATACTGCTTGACAATCGAAGAAGCGCATTACAAGAGACACATTGAAATTGCTGAAAAAGTCCGAGGCCTGTATGAGAGCTGTGGCGAAATAGACTGGACCCTCATTCCGTCTGAGACTTGCGAACGTGGAAGAGCAAGAATACCTGGAAAGCGTCAAATTGTCAGTAATGATGGCGAAAGTGACCCCAGCCCTACCTCGGACGATACGCCGACGTCCAGACGGGAAAAGAAAAACGCCAAGAACCTCGCGAGAGCAGCGAGTAGATCGAGAATGATTACCCAGGAAGAGGCCAAGTATATTGACTCTGTTCTTCACCTGGCTGATGGCGTGAACGATAGTGAGGGCCCATGCAATCCGGAGGAGATTGAGGAGATTGAACGACATTTGCGCTACCATGCTCAAGTCTACAACACCCAGCCAGATCGTCGTGGCCTACGGAATATGGCACAGTTTCCCGACGCGGATGTCGACTTTGACGCCGAGATGGAGCGCATCCTAGAGATATTACGCATCACCGATCTAGTCCAACGCAACAGCCGCAACCGTGGCCTACAGGGTCGAGACATGAAACATTTCGAAGCATTGGTAGAGGAGCTCAAACGCACTGTTGTGGAAGACATCGTGTTAGTCAAGAAAGATATACTCGAGATCCGAATGCGTCGCGCTGGCTACATGAGATACACAAACAAGGCAGCAGTCACTCATGTGGAAGACCGCTACATTGATAAGGATTGGAAGACTGGCGAGAAGATCAATGTGAATAGGAGCGATTCCAGTGGATATAACACTCCACTTGACGAGATCAAAATGTCATACAGGTAAGTTCACACGTATGTTTATTCACAGTATCTGGAGTGGCCATTTTAGTTGGGACATTTTGATAGCTGGTGTTAATGTCTTGCGGGCGGATCTCTACCACATGCATTCATCTAATCGAAACGACAGCGAAGAGAATGTGGCCTTGGCACCGCAACAACTACCACGCACACATGCCCCCGATCGAAGACATCTTGAGACCGTCCACATACGTGTAAGTGGCGAGGATGGACTCCATGAAGCTGTCATCGAGCCCTACAACGCTCCTCTTGTGACTTTGGCAACAAATCCAACGCCTAATATCAAGCCCATTTCGTTGAAGGTCTTTCTCGACGATGCTTCAAAATGCGGCGCACGAACGATTAATGCTGGTATTGGCAGAACTAGCAAGCCGCAGCCTGTGTTCAATGGTTGGCAAACCATGACAGGAAGTTCGAAAACCACGCTGCATACCGAGACTCCGACAGTGAGTGCTGAATCACCCAGACTGCTCGCAGGCGGAAGGACGTATCCTCCTGTTTTAGACCGAGATTCAAGCTCAAAGCGGTGCCGCCAGCCACTGGCAGTGAAGCAGCAACATACAACAAAAGTCGAAAAGTCACCGTTTGTACAGTCACCACCAAACGAGGCCATATCTTTGACCAGGATGCCGGAATCATTCATTGATCATGCCGTCGATCACATCACGATTACGCTCAAAACTGAGCCTGTATTGTCCCACAAGAAGAAGGCAAAGAAAGAGCGTGAGGCAAGACGCAAAGCCAGAAAGGTTCTAGTACTGGGAGAAATTTTTGATCGATCGCCAGATGCCGACACCAAAGTCTTGGTGGAGGATGAAGTGGATCTTACCACAGTGAAAGAACTCTCTCACCGCACCAGCTCTGAGTGCCCCAATGATGAAAATGAGGTTATGGAATCAGCTGGGGCATACCAAACTGAAGACGATTCAGGGGAGAACAATTTCGGCTTGATGAAGCTAGATGCTGTTTGCTCCAGGCGAAGTGCTAAAGTATTCCCTTTCGAGATTCCTGTAACCAAACATGGTAAGCATGTGCATTGGCACAGGTTTACCCGTAACCTCATTGTTGATCAGCCTACTACCCCTCTTATGGTAAACTGGCATACCCCTCACAATGGCACACCGGAAAACGCTGTCCATTGCGCATTTGAGCGCTATAGCGAGCCGGACTGCCCGTTTCACGATGAATGTAAGCATATCAACAAACCAAGAGACGAGTGGAATTAATCGGAATAGTCTTCGATGACGCCACAACTTGCGCATGTTGCGCCTATCGCAAGGACATGTGCCACCTGACCTATCCTGGTATCGATGAATGCTCCTTCGGGCCTATCGATCGGCTACACGGTGAGAAGTTAATGGAGATGTACAAGAATGACAGTAGGACACAGGGCCGTCTCATGCTTGTTGATGACGTACTGTACGACTACCTTCTTATGACGGCTGGCGCACAATGTGGCCATCCGATCAGCGATAATATGCCAGAGGCCCTTGTTCAAGAGTATACGGAGGTATTTGACAATCATAAGGGTCCTGGCCCGCTGATACAGCAGGAGCAACTTTACCAGCGCCTTGCAGCAAAGAATATGACCCTCAAGCATCCAGTCTCGAGTCAGCTGCTTCACAAGATGCAGCTCACATTTGAACCCAAAGACTGCACCTACACCTGTTACTGCCACACCAAGGTTGTGCCAGGACTGAAACCAGAAGATACCATCGAGTGCTCGCACCGAGACTGTGCAAATACTTTCTTCCACAATGCCTGTGTCAAGAAGCGACACCATGAGAAAGTCACCCGTTGGTACTGCCGCGGGTGCTCGCAGAATATGAAGGCTTTGGCACGCAATACTCTGCACTCTGTAGGTGACTACGACCATGATGCCGAGGAACGATACTCTTGTGAGCTCCGTGATCAGATCTTCAGGAAAATGATGAATATACCTGATGACGTGTTTGAGAGGGTGAAGAAGCGAGTGCAAACTATGGGTGGGATGAACTTCTAGATTATAGGGGGTTCTGATCGGCAATCGAGACGGAATCAACGTTGCCATCCCTGGTTAAGTTTGATGGGGGAAGCTCCGCTGAAGTTATAAGTAGAACTAGCACTGCATCAGCCAGCACGATACAGCATCGCAACATTGCACGCGTGGTTCCACATAAGAGTTGTCAATTATTTTGTTATTGTGTTTTCATCAGCTCGCACGTTACCCAGCAACTCAATAGTTGTGCGATTCATGCCATCTTCCCTATCAGCATTGGATGGAACCCACCCCGTGTCCCTTCTCACATTGATTGATGTTAAAGGTGCCCACACTGCTTGCTCACAAGTACGTTTATCGTATTGTGGGGTGTTTAAGATGTTCGTCTCTCAAGAGCTTTCTTGCAATTGGCGTTTGAAGCAGCGGACTAAAGGATTCCACAGGTTGTTCTTTCCGTCAAAATAAGAATAAGCAACGCCGATTAGGGTACCACTCAGGTGCGCCTAAGATGATTAGCGAGCTTCTATCTCATCGATCTTTTTACATACCGCATGTCCTATATTTATGATTTTGTATGGCCGAACCATACCAACGAAGTCGAACAGGATGAGAGCGGGCAGAACGTACTGCGCCTCGAACCTGAAAGGTAACATCAAAATCTTCAGTCCCGCCGTTGGGAATTGCGTGCAGACCAGACCGAAGATCGCAAACAGTGCACCACTTGCACCTCCACATCGTACGAAGATTTCGGGCACGGCCTTCCGGTGAGCTGGCGGCGGTATGAGTGTAGCTAAATGCTGTACAAAGGTAGATAGGACACCTGCTGCAAGATAGAACGAGACTATATGATGGGGACTGCTTTCGAACACAGGCGTGTGGTTTGCAGCCGCGATAAAATTATTGATGGCGAACACATTGAAGCCAAGGTGGATTGCCCCCGAATGAACAAAGATGCATGTGAATTGGGTATAGTTGACATTGCGCACTGGTAAATGCCACAGAGTATCCCAAAACCGAGGTACGACAAAACGGCTTGCATGTACTAAAAGGTTGGCGCCTGTGAGACTCACGCTCACTTTCATCATTTCGTTTTGTTTGGTCCATACCCTCGTTGCCACTTCTGCGAGAGACCTTGGGGGTCCCTGTGGCGGCGTCGGTAGTATCTGAGGGAGCTGGGGCCAGCTGTTGTTCTTCTTCTTCTTCTCTTCTTTGATTTGCTTCTTTGCCTCTAAGTAAGCACAACCGACGACGATGCCCGTGGAAACGGCCAACGCCCATAACCCAGGGCGCAAATAACGAACTCTGCCGTTGGGCAATACCGTATAATCCACATTCTGAGGGCCGCCGCTGATCTCCCCTTGAAAGTTGTTCTGGCCCAGTTCGGGTAGTGCTGATGGTGGTTGATATGGACGAAGCGGTCGGCTTCGCTGATTGTACTTATTTCGCCGCTGAACGAGACTGGGCGCTGGGTGGGCACCAAGTGGAAGCAGCCTCGTGCGACAGGATCGGCTTGTACGCCATGCTAAGCGCACTGACAACCCCAAGGGGCTATGTAAAGGCATGAGGCTTTTTCTGAGGGTGGAAGTGGTCGCGTCGGTTGGTCAGTTGGTAGAATAATGCGCCATGTTTCGCCAGTCGCGTCGGGCCAGATTGTGCGAAACTGCAGTCTGTGCGTCGCGTCTTTTTTCACCTTCAACGCCTCGCACGCAGAGGCTCTGTCTACTGTGTACGCCTATCACATCTAACGCTGTAGTGCTACTCACCCGAGTTTCTTATTGCCTATTTTTCTTCTCATTCTTTCAATATTCTTCCTCTGACACTTCTATTACTTTATTTCCCAGGTAAGTTGGAGCATGCACAAGCTATAATGAATTTGCAAATTTGTGTCACCTAATTTCAGTTAGGACAACCAGGCGATAGATTCCTTGACTGATATCTGCCATTTTGTAAACAATATTCACTGCTCACCTTTACTATAGACCTGTGTTTGTCGTTTCGAAAGCCACAGCGACAGGAAAATCTGCTCGGTTCTCTAGTAAAGCATTTTCCACATCGCTTCAACAGCGCGTTCCTTTCGCGAAATCCATGACATGCTCTGATCTTGTCGACCTCTCCGACTTGCTCCATGACAATCGCTAATTCTGGCAACTCCTCGCCCTTCAGTACAAGTGAAAGAAGATTGTGTATTAGAATGAGTGTTACGCACCTTCAGCATCTGCAAATTTAGAAGTTTGACAGTAGGATCTCCATATGTGAAATCGTCCACATTGAAAGATTTCGACGGTGTATCTACTTCATGATTGTGTGACCATGTGTTCACCGCGTCAAAAAATTAGGTTGAAGTGCAAATGTATGCTTTCCTATAAACATCTTTAAGCTCTAGCTCTAGATAATAGAGAAAATTTAAACAAGTAATTTCTCTTAAAAATTGACCTCTTCTGAACCTGGAGAGGACGAGAAAGAAAAGCGGCCGTGGAAGAGCATTAAAGCTAGGGAAGACATCAAGCTTGCGTAGACTTGTCCAATTTCTAATCGTGTAAATTTGCTTTAGTTATTCTCTTACCTAAAGCTAGACCTTGAAGTCGTTTAGAATAAATTACGCGGGCACTTCTCTAGTGACGTTGTATAAATTACTAATTTACTGCAAAGTAGGCCACAGGCAAGTTTATGCGCTAAGTAGGTATACTATATTATATTGTGACTTATTGTTGTTAGTACCCCTAGCTATGTAATATACACTAACTTCTAGATTTTATAGCACCCTCTAATAAGTGCCTAACTTATATTAAAAATCACTTACTACTTTCTACTTTAGCTACCTTAGCTACCCTCCTACCTATATAAGCGTAGGTACTAGAGGAATAGCTAAAATAACTCCTATAAGGCTCTTTTAGGGCTTTTAGAGTATGTTAATATAACCTAATAACTCTTAGCACTATAGTACAAAACTAGTTTATAGTAGCTATATTTATCTAAAGTAGACTATAAAGTAGTTTAAGTATAAAAAGTAAACCTAAATAGGGTATACTATACTATATATTTGTAACGACTTAGGTAGGTAGGGCATCTGAAAGGTATCCTATACGACTCAAAGGCATATGGGAGTGCGCGTCTGTACGGAAAAGGATGAGATTCCTACACCTATAGGTCTTGTACGAAAGGACAAGAAGAACATGCCTATCCTAACTATAGGCGAGCTGTTCTCTATATACATCAGTGAGTCGGGCCTTTATCAGGCCTGACTTGGCATGGAACAATGGGCAGGCAATTCTGCCTTATTGTTATAATATTCTATAAAAGTAAACTACTTTTTACTTTATATATTATTAGTATAATATATATTAACTTTAGTGTCTATTTAAATATAGTTTATATAATATACCTAATTATAGGTTATATAGTAGATAGATATATAGCACCTTAGGGAAAAATTTAGTATAGATAGAGGGTGTAAAGGGCTTAGGCTTACGCCCAAGCCTAGGCCTAACATAGGATAGACAGAGTCTAACACTACTACTAAGTAAACACGCTACACACCTATAAAAAGGCGTAGAGGGCTTACCTCTCCTTTAAGATACTAAATACTAGTATTAACGCTTATTATATTCTTCCTTAAGGCTAGTTTATAATATATTAGTATCTTTTAGTAAATATACTATAATAGTAATAGAGATAGATATACTAGATATTTAGAATAATTAGGTGCAACCTAATATAGTAGAAAGGCTAATATAGTAGGTCTATAGATTAATAGAATAATAGGCTTAAGACTCTACTATACTAGCTATACTATATTAGTAGAATAAGGAAATACACAATTAGATTCTATCCTTACCCCCCTCTAAGCCTGCTAGTTTTAATAACCTACTGCCTCTACCCCCCTCTACCTTATATTATAAACCCTTTCTAGTTAGCTTACTATATAATAGTACTAAGGTAAACTTCTCCTTCTAGTAACTAACTATAGAATTTAAACTACGTGTAGATAAGGTTTTTATTAGGGATAAAGAGGCAAGGTATATATATATTTAGTCCTAGTTATTACCTATAGTCTAGTATACTATAGTACTATACTTTAAGGATAGTATATATATATATTAGGATATAAGTAGGTTTCTTAATTACCTAGTGTTCTATTATAGTAATTATTATAGGCAGGAGTATACCTAAGTTATATTAGAATATCTATATTAGGGCTATAATTAGCCTTTTATAAAGTTCTTTAAAAAAATTGTGTAGCTTCTTATATAGTTAGGAGGTCTATACTAGGATAATAAATAAAAGCTTTTATAACTACGCTAATTACTTAATAGCTATATATACTTAGTTTCCCTTAATAGGGGAGTCTCTAGGATAAACTATAATATAGCTATAGCAGAATATAAGATAATTATAGTAGATATTAAAATAGCCTCCCTAGAACTAGGCTTTCTTTAGGCTAGTAAGTCTAAGGAACCCTAGTAGAAGTCTACTCTAGATTAGGATAGTAATATAAATATAGTAGAAGTAGTAGCCTTATTAAGTGTACTTACTAAACTACTAATATTACGTCCTAACTAGATTCTATAGGACCTATTTAATACGTAAAAGCTAGTAAAGGTCTATACCTAGTATAGATAAGGTAGTTATTTTATATAGGCGTGTCCTAATACCCTATTACTATAACTAGTAGGTATTAAGATAGTTGCAGTATTAGCAAGCAGCCCTAATTTAGGAAACTAGCTACCCCTAACCTTAGGCTAAGTTAGGGGAATAAGAAGGATACTATAGCTAAGGAATTATTTATAGTAGAGGCTATTAAGTATCCCCTAGATATTAAGGTAGGGTTAAATAATCCTCCTTTCTTTATTCCTCTCCTCCTAGGTAGAGTAGAGAATGTGCAAGCAATAGTTAATTTAGGGTACTAGTGTTTTAGTATAGTTAAGGAAAAGTTAGTAATATAGATTAGTAGGAACTTTATTAATATTCCCTTATAACCCTTATAATATACCTAGGGAATTACTAAGGGTATAAGGATTTTATAGTTAGTAGCCTTAGACTATAATTTAGATAGCTAGTAGTCTTAACTTTTAGCTTATATAGTACCTAGTCTATCCTATTAATTAATACTAGGTAGACTATAGCTATATAGAGATAGCGTTATTATAGATATTCTACAAGGCAAATTAGTAATTAGGGAGGCAGGGAATATAGTAGTATAGGAGAGCGGGAGACGCCTATATCCTACCTATATCTCTATTATCTTAGGTATAGTTATAGCAGGGTTACTAAAGTAAGAATCCTAATAGGAAGATATATAGTTATAAATTTTTATAATAAATATACTAGATATATTATAGGTAATATATAACTTCCGCCTAGTAAAGTACCTAGGAAGTGTTAATACTAAAAGTTATATTAATATACACACTATCTATATTACTAGTAATATACTTCCCTATAGCCCTAAGTATAAAACTAGGAAGATAAAGTTGCTACTAGAGCTATAAGAGTTTAGGGACCTATTAAACAAAGAATTAGCAAGTAGCTTGCTACCTTATTAGGGTAGTACAGATTACTATATTTAGTTAATAACCCTCCTAGATAGAACCTAGATAGTTCTTAGCTAGGTCGTGAAATAGCAAGATTAGTAGTAGATAAATAAATATAGTCACTAACCTTCTAGTTAACTAGATAGTAATAGTAATTAGTAGTAGAGCGTATTTAGTCCTAAGCTCTTTCTATATTTTCTTTAGCAATCTTCTATATGTTATGCATCTAAGTAGCAAGGGATAAGGCGTCCTTGTGGATTAGTTTCTCTAGTATAGTAGATAGGGTCTTTTCTACTTTCTAATACTAACTTTACTTTAGTAAGGAGCTAAAGAAGAGCTAATATAGAGCTATACTAATAGATAAATATAGAAGAGTACTTTAGGCACAGTCTATTATAGGTAGTAGCTTGCTCTAGTTATCCTAGTAATAGGATACAAAAGGCCTTAGTCTCTAATTAATATACTTATTTATAATTTTAGTTTGTCTATTAGTTTGTTTATAGTAGGTAGTAGAGAGCTTAACTTTAGTACCTATAATCTAATAGAACTTAGACTAGAAACTAGATACAAACTAAGGGCCTTAATTAAAAATAATAGTATCTAGAGTGTGTCTAAATTAGTATACCTACTAAACAAATAAGGTAGCTATACCTTAGGCGTCTATAGTTTTATAGTAAGGGATAGTAATAGCTTGCTTTAATAGGTAATTAATAATAACTATAATCTAATTATAACTATATTAATCCTAGGGAAAATCCTTAAAATTAATGCACAGGTGTTGTATTAGTAGACTAGGGATAGGAAGGGGGTAGAGCATGCTAGGGAGTTAGTGCTATCTTAGGTGCCCTCTCCTGTATAGGATACAGTTCTAAACGTAGCGTTTATAGGTAGTCTCTATACCTTTCTAGTAGTAATGTTAGGCTAGAATCTAATAGGTTTTAGTAGCTAATAGGTAGGTAGTAGATACTTTATTATAAGCTTTATAAATTAGTCTAGTATATAGGACTAATCCTATAGGCACGCAAAGTTAA